CTTGAACCAAACCTCTTCCTCCCCCGCTTCAGGCTAAACGGGAAGGCAGCCGCTGGGATGCCTCCTCTCTCTTTATTGGCCCCGGATGCTGCAGAAGGTGATTGCTAAGTAATAACTGATAACTTCATCATCAGTGCATTACTGGTCAAGAAACTGTTGGAGAATAAAGAGTTCCACTATGAACCACGTTGGTAAATTGAAGTGAACTACCATCTAACTTCATTGCCAATAATCGCGGATTGAATTTTGTTTTTCAAGATTACATTGTAGGATGCAAAGATGGTAGACGTAGAAGGTAGAAGTAGCAAGAATTATCAATGGTCCGCCTAGTGTAGACCACTTAGAGCCATATGTTTTACATGGTGAGAGTAGGAAGCCCCAAATCGTCCAATTCTAGCAAAAGACGAGATATGTCCTTGACCGTTTCGATGGAATGTATTGGATCTACTCAACAAAAACTATTCCAGAAGATGTCCCCCTGCAAGGCGGTTACATAAATGAATAGATGTGACATGCATCAACGCCTTCACAATATCCCAGACCTTTGCTAGTTCATGCACACATGGCCAGCAATCGAGGACATCTGAGAGTTGTATTTTTTGTACTCCTCCGAGGTGTGATTTTTGGCGTGCTGGGCCAAGCACAAGGAAGCCATCTGCAAAAAAACTGCAGAAAATGGTTGTTGTTTGATCCTTTGGTGTAATCTTTGTTTCTAGTCGAAGCTAGTTGCTGTTTGGAACAGAAACGCTGAAATTGACTATTTTCTGCATGTACTCATACATGTACTCATGTACTCAGTCATGCAGTCTCACTCGTATTTTAGCTCTTTTTCTGGAATGGATGCTGCTCTGCGCCCCTTGGTGAACATTTCCTGCGCTCGTGGAGCAGCTGAAAAGGACCACTGGTATGTCTGGTTCCTGGTTTGAAAGTGGAGAGTCGACTTTTGTGCCTTGAAAAAGGAGTAGAGAGCGATAAAGGTACGTCTGTGGCTTATTTTTGAGTGCTCCTCGTACATTTTTGATCGTGATAGAAATTCTCAGACCAAAGTCAGACCAAAGTCAGCGCGATGATGGCCGTACAGTTTTCTTGTGGATTATTTTTGTTGTTTCATCTCGTATCTATGTCAGTATCGTGATGGTGAAGTGGAGAGGGTGATTTTCTTCCTCTAGGCTTCGTTCCGACGACTTTGCTTCGTCCTCGTTGAAAAGTGATCCTGAAAAAAAGGTCGATTCGCAAAATTATGTTGATTTTCAATGTACGTGATGACATGCGATTGCTGGCTATGTCCAGAAAACGCTCATTCCTGCACTGGTCAATAAGCTTGTAGATAGTCATGGCATCTGGTTGCTAAGTGCCAGCCAAGGAGAAGAGAAGGGTATACCTCTTTGAAAGAGTCTAAAATTCAATCGTTAGAACTTACTAGCCTAATCTTGAAACCATCTCTAGCAGCATATGTGTCAGCTTGGTGAAAAAATGATGCTCATAGTCAGTCTATGTTTGTACTTGTTGCTGTGTGTCATTCATCGTGACGGTCGAGTAATCCGATTATGCCAAAGCACATATTCCCGAAAAGCAGTTCCTCATGTCCAGTGACGTTGCCACATTGCTTGTTATTGTAACTCTGTGATTATAAGAAATTCCTATGCAAGTAATTGAAGTTTTGCCAGTAATTGAGTTCATCCTTCGCAATTGCCGATACGCGTACATTGTATTTTAGTTGTGTATAGCCAACAATAGTGTCTGGGTGAATCCTAAAGTGTTGAGTACATCATAAATGCTGCTAGTGATAGCCAGCACTGAAAACAAAAACTATAATAACCTACATCATAGGTCTTAGACATGGAAATGTATGCAGGTGTCAAATGACACCGTTTGGCCGTTCTAGGAGTACTGAAAGTGGTGGCCGTCCTAGGGTTAAAGGGGAAGTATACCCTAAAATCAAATTTTCACCAGTTGTAGTCTTCGTGGTGCTGAGTCGAATGGTTTTGGTCCGAGGACGCTGAGACATAGGGCTTGGCGGATAATGCCGGCAGAAAAATTGGCAGAATTCGGTACTTTTTCTGGTAAGTTTCATGCATGTTTGGTATGTGGATAAAGAAATGGAGCAGAATTCAAGGAATTGCCCGCCATAAGGTTTGTATGGTTCTGCCAATTTCGGTGCAAAAAAGCAGAATCTGCCACCTTTTCGAGCATTATCCGCCAAGGCCTACTGAGACGCTCCCTTCCTCCTTTATTCCCAATCGAACTCGCGCACTTCCACCGAAACTGGGTGATTGCGCCCTACTAGATAGGGATTTGTATGGAAAAAGTCACTAAAAACGCCGTTTCTTTCTTATAAAAGCACGGATGACCGCGATTGGTCCATATGTCGCAGTCTTGTGGCCGCTGAGTCGACTGGTTTTGGTCCGAAAAGGCTGCGATGCAGCGTTCGGCCCTTATTCCCAATCGAACACGGTTGAGTGAGCGGTCACGTGCCCGCAGAGTGCATTTTTCACATCAATATTCAACTCAAAGGTTCAAAGTAGGGAGTCGTAAGGGGCTTTTACGACTCCCTGGTTCAAAGGTTCAACTCGAGTGACATAAACGGGCCCAAAAGGCTGTAAATGAGCACGTGACCGCTTACTCAACCGCGTTCGATTGCGAATAAGGGCCGAATGCTGCATCGCAGCCTTTTCGGACCAAAACCAGTCGACACTACGAGCACCTTGGTGTCCGTGGCATTGCCCTTACCTGGCTCACAAGCTACCTGACTCGCCGCCGACAACGCGTCAAGGTTGGCTCCGCTTTGTCATCATGGAAATCCATTCCAGCTGGAGTACCCCAGGGCTCTGTCCTGGGGCCTCTTCTTTTCCTGGTGTACACGATCGACCTCCCCCCAGCATGTACAAACTCTCACACTAAATGCAGCCAGTTCGCCGATGACACGGCACTCATCGCGACGCATTACACGAGGGATTTGTCAGCTGCATTCCTCCAACGTGCCGTGGACGCAGCAGGACGATGGTTGAAGGATTGGCATCTCCTCGTCAACACCACGAAAACCGTCGTGCTTTCCTTCCAACCCCAACACACCATCCACATCACGCTCCACTCGACTCGGCTGCAGCAGGTCCACCAACATAGGCACCTTGGTGTTACACTCCAAGACGATTTGCGATGGACCCAACACATCATAGAAACCACCAACAAAGCCAAAAAACTACTACACCAACTCCACAAGACACGTGGCACAATGAACGCTTCCACCCTATTGTTAATATACACAACCTACATCCGACCCGTTCTCGAATATGGCAGCCTTGCCCTCTCCAACACCACACAGCATCAGCGGGACACACTGGAGAGAATTCAACGCCGTGCTATACGCATCTGCCTTCGGATTCCCCTCTTTGCACCAGTTCACCACAGCTCCCTCCTCCATCACGCAAAGCTCCCCACCCTTAGCTCACGACTCCTTGTTAAACAAGCCCTACTAGCATGGGACATCCACCACCAAACCTCCCCACCACACCTGCAACAACCACATCTTGCACCACAACGTCAACACCAACCATACACCCTTCGACAGACAAGGACCTACTCCATCGGACACGCACACACGAACAGGCACCGAGATTCCCCCATCAACAGTGCCCTCCCTCTACAACTCACTCCCTATCGACATCACAACCCAACCTCGTAGAAATTCTTTCCGAAACAATGCATCCAGTCTTCTTTTGAGCAGTACCTGCTCCTGCTCCGCGCATCCCCCTGGTTTCTGATATCTCGAACGTGTACTTAACTATCTCGATCACCCCTGCTAACGTTATTGCCCCCGCTTGTTTTTCAAGATCCATTGCTTCTTGCCTCCCGGTTAACTTCCATCTAGCTGTTTCTGGCTAGTACCAGTTCTATCGCACTTATTAATCATCCTTATTGGCGTCACGCCATCGTGGAATAAAAGAATAATAATAATAATAATAATAACATATGGACCAATCGCGGTCATCCGTGCTTTTATAAGAACGAAACGGCGTTTTTAGTGACTTTTTCCTTACAAATCCCTATCTAGTAGGGCGCAGTCACCCAGTTTCGGTGGAAGTGCGCGAGTTCGATTGGGAATAGAGGAGGAAGGGAGCGTCTCAGCTTCCTCGGACCAAGACCATTCGACTCAGCACCACGAAGACTACAACTGGTGAAAAATTTGATTTTAGGGTATACTTCCCCTTTAATATTAGGGAAGGTCGAAAGACGAAAGGTCGAAACATTATTCCCGAATAGACGTCAAACGGTCCTGACATTCCCGAAATGACGTTAAACGGTCCTGATGGCCTCATTATGCCCGTGGCGGGAAGATCGCCTATTGGCCATGGCCCCGGCAACGATCACGTGTCATGTAAGAACTCGACATTTTGCTCCAGTTTGCTCCGGAAAAACGTTTATTTTTTCCAGTCGGTTTCTCAACACGGATATCCACGCATGTGTCCTAATCATGTCGATCCGCAGTGAATCCCAGTGATACTTCGGTGACATTATCTCTTCCTGGGCAGTGCATCATGCTGAACGAGTAAGAAACAAGGAAATCCAAGTACAGTACATGATTGTACAATATCAGGCATCGATTTTACCCAACACTGTCTCGATATTTTGCTCCGATTTTCCGGCAACTTCCGCTCTTTCAATTCTTCGATATTTTGCCGAAAGAATTGCCGGCAGGATCTGTCTGTGCCTACACTGGCTACAGTACTTGTAGCTTGACTATAATAGTACAGTGCTGGCAACTGAAATCCGAGCACCTGAGCGGTGGGTTCACATTCTTTGCGATGTGAGCGCACCGCTCAGGGGGTCGGATTTCAGTTGCCAGCGCTGTCCTGTAGTACCGGTACAATCAGTACCCAGCCGGGTGCCAATGGCAATGCCCCCGTCCCATGCCATGGCGCATATGGCGCCGAATCGAAACCATGTCGTATGCATGCGTGCATATGGCTGCATCCCACTATTTTTTTCCTGGCCACTCCATCTTCAACTACTGCACTGATACTACAAAAGTAAGTAACAGTTAGTTGCAGTAGCTCGGAAAGCCTCCCAATTTTTGAGCCAAATGTTTCTGACTGCAAAGCGGGGTCCACGGTACGGGGGGAGTGCAGACCGGTCGGTCAAAAGGCTGAAAATAGTCTTGCCGGACCTCTGGCAGGTTTCGTATCATTAGTTAGTTGTTCATATTGCAATCGACATTGATCAGCCCCTGCTCTGTCGGCGTCTTCAATCGATGTTGAGCCAAATCGGCGGCTTGTCGAACCTCTAGCCAGGAAACATCAATTTTACTATTTTAGCTCTAGAATATCAAAGGACTAGCAAACATCTAATTATTATCATAGAACGCGCAAGTGTATTGCTGGACCTCTGGAGCAGAAAGCCTTCACCCATAGGTGACACGGTGGATCTGCTTGCTTCAAACTACAATGGTGAGTAATTTCTTGTGAAGATTCTTAACTGTATGCCCCGCCACCCACCTCCCCCGACCGCCCCACGCCACCCTCCTACACACCCACACACACACACACACACACACACACACACACACACACACACACACACACACACACACACACACACACACACACACACACACACACACACACACACACACACACACACACACACACACACACACACACACACACACACACACACACACACACACACACACACACACACACACACACACACACACACACACACACACACACACACACACACACACACACACACACACACACACACACACACACACACACACACACACACATACATACACACACCTGGTCCTGGTAAACACTGCCATTACGGGCACGTGTCCCCTTACGGGGCCGACAATATAGAACGACGAGCGGGACCATGTTCGAGAGAGCCATCTCCAGCAGCTATGGATCTGGCTTATCATCGGAAACGATTCCTCTCACGGCTGCCGCTAGAAGTGGTCCATCACTCTCCACAACAGAGCGAACATTCCATGAGCCAACGCTCAGAGTCGTTCCAAGTCGTCGTCTTCGTGCGGTAGTTTGCTCCACTCGCGGGCTTGCAAAGCCTCGCGAAGGACTCCGAGGTGGGGGCGACGAGGAGAGTGTCGGCATCGTAACTATCCGACCAAGTCTCCTGTCGGTGAATACCCCACCTCAGGCACTGTTGGCCTCACACACACACACACACACACACACACACACACACACACACACACACATACACAGACACACACGCACGCACACACACACATACACAAACTCGATCCCTTCTTGCTCCATAACTACAGGTATGACGCAATGCCGGACTGAACCTGCACTCAGTTACCACTGGCACGGAAGGGAGTATGGGATTGATCTCTGTGACAGCTTATCCCACGTCCCACATTGGACTAAAACACCTCTACTGAGTCCGTATAATACACATACACACACACACACACACACACACACACACACACACACACACACACACACACACACACACATGCAAACGCACTCATTCTAGCTATCTCTCTTCGATTTAGGGGATGTCTCTGTCGGGCCCTAGTGTAATGATGTCGATCTGTTGTAGTATTTCGGTCGGGCAGAATCTTGAGGGTAAATGTACGTGCTCTAGAAAATCGAGGTCGAGGTTCGCCTTGCCAATACTGACTTGTACTACTAGGATCCACTGCATGGTCCAACTTTGAACCCCAGCTGCACAAAGGTACGCCTGCCGCTGAGCTAACGTTACAAGCAGATGTTGAGTTCTTGACCCAGCGCTCCGAATCAGTGCGGAGTGGGTGAAACTTTATTTGCTAGATTCTTTGTGCTCGCACATGTTTACATAGTTTGAATTATGTTGCTTTCGCAACCAGGAATGGCTTGAACTGCGATCGCCATACATAGTTTGAATTATGTAGTTGCTTTCGCAACCAGGAATGGCTTGAACTGCGATCGCCATTTTGTCAAGTATTCTTGATGCGCAGGTAGTTTTGAGAGTTGTCAAGAGACACGAGTTTGAGCAATCATGGTGATGATTCTGTAGTTGTTTTTCCTTTCAGCTTTGTTGTTCCGTTACCATGTTTACCTTCATTCCATTCTTGTAATCTTCAATCCTTCAGTTTGAACCAATCTGCCTGTCCTGGTGGCCTGGGAGCGTGACTGTGCTGTGGCCTAGAGTAGAAGGAGTTAGTTTGGATGATTGGTTCTCCCACAAAGTGGCTGTTTTGTGGTCAGGGCATGCGAACTAAAGCGAAAAGCCACATGTTGATCATGAGTGTATGGTGTGTCTGTTCTTCTTTCCTTTTTTTGCAACGCCCAGTGCGTACTGCGTTTCTGTCGCTCTGGCCCTTTGGCACTTCATATTCCGAATTCCGGAATTATTCCAGTTTCTTCAACTTGCAGGATACGCTTCTCCAAGAAGCTATAGAGAATTTGAACACACTCAAGGTGTGAACTTTCAGAGTCGAGAGAACTAGCTTTGGCCAAGTTTCTTTGGCAATCTTGACATCAAATTCCATCATTGCACTTACAACAATCCATGAGAGTTTATAGTAGCAAGATCACATCACAACCAGAGTGTGCAGCTTGGGGCTTTTTCTACTATGGTTGTCTGTCACGGCGCGGCGAGGCAGGACATGGCGTATTGCGTACAACTGATCTGGGGCTGTGGAGAAAGAGACCTGCTTGAATCCTGCTTGTGCGCACTACATCGCTGAAAAGGCTGTAATCACGGAATTCAGCAGTGACGGCAACCCATCCCAGCTGCACACTCTGGTTTTCATGTACTCTTGATAGTAGCCATTTCCATGTGGCGTTTGTATTTTAATACTACATGGGTTAATGAAGGGCTGTTGTCATTTTTTCATCTAAACACGCCTGGGTGTGCATTGAAAAAGCATTGATCTGTGCGTTCTGTTGTTTGCACCAGGTTGGCCAGTTGATCATATCGTTCCTACTGTCACTGGGTCTTCTCTGTATAGGAGCCAGTTCTTCAAATGGTATGTCCATGAGACTAAATTTCACAGGCCAATGCTGTTGTCCAACTGTGCTACAGATCCAACACATCCCTCTATGTCCATACTGTCCGCATTTGTCTCTCTGTCTGTCTATGCCTCTGCCTGCCTACATCTCAACTTGCCACTGACTCTCTCTCTATTTTTCTAACTCTTTCTCTGTCTCTCTCTGTCTGTCTCTCTCTCTCTCTTTCTCTGTTTCTCTCTGTCTCTCTCTCTCTATCTCTCTGTCTCTCTCTCTCTCTCTCTCTCTCTCTCTCTCTCTCTCTCTCTCTCTCTCTCTCTCTCTCTCTCTCTCTGTCTCTGTCTCTGTCTCTGTCTCTGTCTCTCTCTCTCTATCTTTCTCTATCTCTCGCTCACTCTCTTGTTCTGACTCTCTCTCTCTCTCTATCTCTATCCCGTTCTCCTTGTCCCTGCATTTCCGTAGTGTAGGGACCCACCCGATGTAAGGTGCAGAAAATTTACAAGTCTGCATGTGTCCGTATGCAAAAGAAAGCAAAGTCTTGGGAGATGAGTATCGATTACCGCATATTTTTAGTGCCACACTGACTTAAAGTAAGCGATGTGTGCTGCCCCGTTGACCATCTTGTTCCTTTATCTCTGTTAGACACTGGACGGAGCGCATCAATGTAGCTTATAGCCTTGCATTCAGTGATTTCGCTGAACTCGCGTGGTGCTTGTGGTACGTGTGTGTGGTTGTTGATTCCTCTGTTAACAGTGTTCATTCCAGGTATCCATCCAGGTAACACCCCGGGCAGTGCCAGCAGTAACACGTCTACGACGACCAACCAGACAAACATACCGCCCTTTGGTAAGTGAACGCAGTGATTTACGTTGTGCTGACACCTGCACTGCTGCTCTACAGTGACTTGTGCTGACACCTACACTGCTGACACCTGCACTGCTGGCCTGCAGTGACCTGTGCTGACGATTGTGCTGACCTGCAGTGATGACCTGCAGTGATGACCTGCAGTGATGACCTATGATGCCTTAAAAGGGCGTGCACAGGAACCTGGTGAGAACGGGTCGTGCTCGGTAAACACATTAAAAAAACAGTCCATTTCCCTCTTCTTTACGAATTACCGCCAAAGTCGCAATGTTGCAGCTGCTACTCCTACTGTTATTGCTGCTGGCGGTGCTACTGCCACTGCATGCGCGCACATTTCTGTCTGTCTGTTTGTTGCCTTTGCGTTTGTCTTTCCAAAGCCTGTATGTCTATTTGTCTGTTTGTCTGCCCGTGTCTATCTCCCTGAATGTCGGTTTGTCCATTTGTCTGTCCATCTGACTGGCTCTTCTTTAAATGCATGCCAATTTGAAAATCTGCATGAATAATAATGCATCTGTGTGTGTGCGAGTGTGTGTGTGTGTGTGTGTGTGTGTGTGTGTGTGTGTGTGTGTGTGTGTGTGTGTGTGTGTGTGCGTGTGTGTGCGCGAGTATGTGTGAGTGTGTGTGTGTGTGAGTGTGTGTGTTTGTGTGTGTATGTGTGTGCCTTACTCTCGGGCGGTCTGGTTATAGCCATGAACGTCGCTTACATGCACTTCTCTCTGCCTGCTTTTCTGTTTCATTTGCCGTGATCATTGCAGTTGAAGTGAGCAACGGAGGCAATCTAATTGTTCCTGGCAGTGTTTTCGGCGCCATCACCATATTGCTAGCAGCCATTGTGCTCGGTCGGCGTGCGCAACGCGCCAAAGTTGCCATGGTTGCGCATAACGACGCCTGTGAATGGTACTGCTCAGGCAAGGCGAGCACGCAGCGCAACGAGCGCACAAGGATACTGCAGCCAATACCCGAGGCGCAGGAGGACGAGCGACCATGCGAAGCTTGCCGTGCCCAGGCGGAGAAACGACCGCGCTGCCCGTCGCACTCCCGGGAAGCAGCAGTGCCGTCCAGCCAGGTCTACTCGGGTCCCATTAGCTCACAGCCGTGGAGCATTTCTACTGGCTCATCGTACGGCAGCACGGACTTTGCATTCACATGCCGTGATGCCACAGTCACTCAAAGTCTGCCCATTCTCTACATCATTGATCCGGACGGGCCATCTCTGGCCGAAAAGAGCTACAGTATTTATTAAAGCTGCAGTGGCTGAACCAAGCAAGCCACAGAATCCGTCCCAGGACTGTGCTAGGATTGTGCCACTGGGCATGGCGCATGACATTTGGTGAGCAAGCTTGCATCGTTAACGCTTTTTTCGGTGAAGCTGCGCCGAGAGTCTACTGTTGAGAATCTCTGGGCTATCTCTCAAGCAGTTGCCAAACCAAGAGGTAGCCAGTGCTCACACAGTCGCCATCTGCTGTCCAGGCTCCTGCTGCACAGCATGCACAGCCAGCAGGAGATCCAATGCAGCAAGTGTGTCTACTGCGAGAAAAAAAAACCCGGGGCGAATCCAAGCATGCGCATGACAATGATGATGATGTTGGTGGTAGTGGCGGTGGCGGTTTTGATTGCCGTGGCTGTGTCGGTGGTGGCATTGGTGGTCGTCGCGGTGGTGGTGATCACGACCTTACACAACTTCCCTGGAATTGGACCCAGCAACGGACGCTGGCTATGTTCAATGAGAAAGGGTAAGCATGTTTGATCATTCCGCTGATATATGTGGTACGTCGGCAATGCGCTACTGCAAGCAACATGCACAAACTGCACTGTACAGGCAGCAGGGGTATACTACTATCAAGTTGACGGGTAAACGACAGGAATGTAGATCTTGTGTGCATGATCCCGAGGTACGCCACTTGTAGCAACATGCTTCTGCCTCCGCTCAGACCATTCATTCAAACTGCTTAACTAGTGGCCTGCTCTGCGGACTTGCTATGTCCTGTACTGGCCTGGCTGTGGCCTGGCTGTGACCTGGTTGTGGCCTGGTTGTGGACTGGCTGTGACCTGGCTGTGGCCTGGTTGTGCATTTGCCCTGGCTGTGGCCTGGCTGTGGCCTGGTTGTGCGTTTGCCCTGGCTGTGGCCTGGTTGTGGCCTGGTTGTGGCCTGGCTGTGGCCTGGCTATGGCCTGGTTGTGGCATGGTTGTGGCATGGCTGTGTGGCCTGGCTGTGGCCTGGTTGTGGACTGGCTGTGCATGTGCCCTGGCTGTGGCCTGGCTGTGCATGTGCCCTAGCTGTGGCCTGGTTACTCTGATATAGACACTGATACTACTATTACTATGCTGTCCGCACACGCCTGCACCTGCACATGCGCACACACATTCACCCACATGCATACATACACACGCACACACACACACACACACACTTGTTGTACACACACACACACACACACACACACACACACACACACACACACACACACACACGCACACGCACACTGTGCGCGCGCACACACACACACACAAACACACACGGAAGTGAGCACGTCGCATTCCATTCCTATTTGGCAGATATATTGTTTCCCTACATGTTGTTTTCATCAATGTTACTACTACCACTAGGTTTAAGTAGCAAAATCAAATTTTAGTACTATCGTGAATACCTGATGTGCCCTTCGCAAGTTTCTCTTCATTCTCATTTTCTGCATCCATTTTTTTTTCACACGTGCACCGCTTCTGTTTGCAAAGGAGCAGTTGAGCTGTCAGCTGAGCTGCAGGACAATACCACCACATCAGCCTCTTCTATTCGTTTTTTAGGTACAACTTTCTACTCTCAATTTTCTGGAAACAGGGAGCTATCATAATAATGGTGGGGGCCAAGCATGAATTGGCGGGAAGTGAGGAAATTGCCCGTCTGACTGTTCAAGGCGTGTTACAGTAGTTGTACACTAACCAATGAGTGGCTAGTGCCCCAGTATAGTGCCCCAGTATCTCTGTGTGCTGGAAACATCATCAAAAGTTGTCTCTTTGTTTCTCGCCTTAGTATAATGCCAAAGTGTGAGACAGATATTTATTTATGACGACTCCAGACGCTGTGAAGTGACATTATTGGTGACTCCCTGGAGGCAAACACTCCACGTTACGTGTCCAGCTTCCAGGAAAGGGGGGGGGGGGTATGTGTGTGGGGGATGAGGGGGAGATTATTAGTATTATGTTCCATAGCCCCATAGGCGAATCTTTTTCTGTGATGCACACACCGTGATGGGCAAAGGTAGTCGCCTAGAGCCATGCAACACGTGACGTCGTGTGCGCCTTGTCGTGTGTGAAGTTGTCAGACTTTCATCATGCATCTGCTGTTTTAAGTAAAGAGTTGAAAGTGTTAACGTGACACCTAGTTGTATGCATGGACTATGGTAAAAATTATGGTACTGGCTGCTCCCTCATTCACTGCCTCTGCTATCCCAACATCAGCACAGTGTTTCCTCAGTCTATGGGGAGACTCATGTACACTGTAAAGGAGACGGCTCGATACCGGGACGTTTTGACAGCCAAATTTGTATAGACCCAAACCGATCATCAGCGTTGATTTTTCACTCGAACTATGTTTGTGGAAGGAAACTGGCATGTTGAAGTTTGCTCTGGGGCCAGAGTCAATCGAACTGAGCCACTCCTTTGTGTTGACCCATTGCCTCCAAGTTGCCCAATTTTTCGCTTCAAAAAAGTTCAAATCAGAGGTGGCTCCAAACCGGACACGTTTTAGAGGGCACGTCAAATTCACTCTGGGTCTGAAATTAGGTAATTGCTATCGCTCCACGACGGCCAGTACAGAGTAACAATAAGCCTTGTGTGTGCTTCCATTAGTTTTGATTGGTATGGGGTGCTTTATTGGCGAGAGGCGAGCCGCTGTTTACCTGCGACAAGAAGTTGATTTTTCGAAAGTCGTAAAACTCAAGTCGGAGTGCGAAGGAACACGTCAAAAACTCACCTGCTTGATATGGCGCTTCTGGTCATCGCAGAGCCATGAAATTTTTGCTCGGAGTATAACACATAGTAGTCTCACTGTGACATATGTACCAGCTAATGGAATTCGTGCGTGACGCTCCACAAGCAAACCAAGCACTGCCGCCTGAACAGTTCGCCTACAGAAGACAACACTCCTGCGATGACTTGCTAGCCTTGGTGGCGAATGACTGGCAGCAAAGTCTGGATGCCGGTAAATTTGTGGTGGCAGCGTTTCTTGATATGTCGAAAGCATTTGACACGGTCAATCACAACATGCTCCTGCAGGAGCTTTTTGAGATCGGCGTCGGAGATAGCGCCCTGCAATGGTTTGCGAGCTACCTACGAGGCAGGCGGCAGCGAGTGGTAACACGTACGTCCAGAGGTGAACTGTACGAAGCTCACAGGGGAGTTCCTCAGGGATCCACCCTCGGACCTGTGCTCTTTAACCTATCTGTACGCAAATTGCCCTCGGCAGCATCTTCCAGCATGGTGCGCCAGTACGCTGACGATGTCGCCCTGTACCTAGCAGGCCGCAACCTACAACAAACTACCGAAGAACTGGCCCGAGATGTGTGTCGTATCAGGGACTTCCTCAGTGAACGAGGACTAATCCTGAATGCCAGCAAGACCCAGTTCATTGTGTTCCACTCCAGATCGAAAAAAGTATGCTCCTCCCTCCGACTAACCATTGACAATGTCTCAATTCCACCAGCGACCACCGTCAAGTACCTTGGTATGACCTTTGACCAGCACCTGACATTCGCTGACCACATCAGTGCCCTTGAGCGAAAGGTAGGCGACAAGCTAGCTGTGTTTCGTAGAATCCGTGACCGTCTAACAATTGATGCAAAGAGAACCTTCTACTGCGCGTTCATACAGGCTCAACTGGAGTACGGTTCCAATGCTTTTTATCACAGTCTGCAGGCTGGGCAACAAGATCGCTTGACTTGCCTCAGCAACCGTGCAGTTAGAACTGTTTTTGGTTATCCAAGGTTCTGTGACATTTCTACTATTCTAGCCAGATACCACCTAGCTTCTATCTCCTTACGTTTGAGATTCAAATTGTTCGTACTTATTTACAGATCATTACATAAGGTGTGCAGCCCGCTCTTAACAGACTGTTTTGTGACTAGAGTCAATGCCACACACACAGCGTCAATCACCCGCTCGCAGGTTACTCTGTCTCTTGCTCTTCCCCCGGCTAATAACCGCTATGGCTTGTACGCATTAAGCTTCTTAGGTGCAGATCGCTGGAATTCGCTCCCTGCTTCTGTTCGTATTTGCTCCACGCTATCAGACTTCCGCTCATCTATACAAAAACATATAGGGTACCCCGTAAGAAGGCCTTAGGCCTGTGGGAATGCCCTATTAAAAATTTAATAAATAATAATAATAATAATAATAATAATGTTTTCTAATCAAAATACCAAGAGAGAAAGTGAATATTGAGTCCGTTCCGGTTTGCAACCGGTGTCCTATTTGAAACCGTCCCCTCTACACCGTACAATGTTGTTTTGTCATGCGATGAATGTATAAGGCACACCCAGTTAATATAGTGTAGAGGTTATGCGAGTGATGTCATGGCACGAGTCAGCGGATATGCCAACAGTTAACAGGCGGTAAGGGCGCGTTCAGACTACCGATAAAAAGTGACCGATTGGGAAAGGCGCCAAGGTGATTTGATCACGTGACGTTACTGGCACGTTACCGGTGGGAAAGTTTTACTGCCGCGGCGGCTGCGGCAGTAAACTTTTACCGGCAGTAAAAAAGTGCTCAGGCTGCATGCGCGCTGGGAAAAAAGAGAAAATCCCTTGTCAGTGCCGCGGTGAGAGCTGAAAACTTCACGGTAAACGTTAGTTTGTTATCGGTAGTGTGAATGTCCTTCACGGTAAGTCCACCCACTCCTGCGGGACCACCCCAGCACGCCAAACATCGCCAAACAGCTCCACAAGCTTTAATCGGCATTCACGGTTTGACGGGGTTCACGGTAGTCTGAACGCGCCCTAAGTAGACAACGTGAGTTACGGATTCGCTAATGGTCTATACGCATGTAGCGGCATGTACAATTCGCTTTCGCAAAGCTTCCCCTTTCTTTACTTATCTTTGATATTTATGACCCACCCAAGTTGGGTGGTGTGCTGCTTTGCTGCTTCGAATTGTAGTTAGACCATATAATAAATTCTACTACTACTACTACTACTACTACTACTACTACTACTACTACTACTACTACCGCTTTGTCAAATATCGTACTGGTCTTGTCATCGTCCAGTAACAATCGACATTCTTTGTTTCGTTGGGACTATAGCTTTTACTCGTTTTCGTTGCGCTTGCCTTCCCCTCTTTGGTATTTCCATAACCTTGAACCTTCCAAGTTGGAAGGCTGTCGGTTAGCGCTACGGAGATGTGTTGAAGCTAGGTGTCAGGACGTCGAATGTCTCAGTACTCTTGTCAGTTTTGTGCCTAGTTATTGCACTTTCTGACTGTATAAGTATCCAGTTACAGTGATGGAGAGTTACTCTTAACTCGTATCCATAATTATGTCCTTTTCCTTTCCACAATAATAATAATAATAATAATAATTTGAAACTCGGGTATTGAGCCAATAATAAAAGTAGAAAGGAAAAGGACATATCGAAACGAGTTAGAGTACCGGTAACTCTCCACCACTGTAACTAGATACTATATACACAAAGGCACACAATGAAAACCTTGGCAAATTTGTTCCGTTGTGACTCAGAGTTTCATGGCTGAACCAGACGGCAACGTCTGTAGGGCCTTCCCTATCAAAATAATAAATTCTACTACTACTACTACTACTACCAATCATCAGACAACGATAATGGAATAGGAGGCAGCGCTGGTATATCTAAGTGGAGAGAGGTGTGATAATACGATAGCGAGAGGAGTAATCGCGTGAATGTATACAGGGACGGGCTATTTCAGAGGCAGATGCAGTAGGCGCAGGTCTAGCACTAACAAGTACGCGCTTAATCTCGCTCACACACCACACACACACATACTAACTCGCACACACATAGTAACACCCACACACACATACATACATACACGCACACACTAACACACACATACACCCACCCACAACACCCTAACTTGCACACGTGTGTGTTAGTGTGTGCGTGTATGTGTGTATGTGTGTGTGGGTGTTACTATGTGTGTGCGTGTTAGTATGTGTGTGTGTGTGGTGTGTGAGCGAGATTAAGCGCGTACTTGTTAGTGCTAGACCTGCGCCTACTGCATCTGCCTCTGAAATAGCCCGTCCCTGTATACATTCACGCGATTACTCCTCTCGCTATCGTATTATCACACCTCTCTCCACTTAGATATACCAGCGCTGCCTCCTATTCCATTATCGTTGTCTGATGATTGGTTCAGCCATGAAACTCTGAGTCACAACGGAACAAATTTGCCAAGGTTTTCATTGTGTGCCTTTGTGTACGCCGCTCTGCCTGAATCAGGCATTGAGCACTCTTGCAGAACCAAAGCATATTGCCTCTGTAGATACTATATACAGTCAGAAAGTGCAACAACTAGGCACAAAACTGACAGAGTACTGAGACATTCGACGTCCTGACACCTAGCTTCAACACATTCCCGTAGCGCTAACCGACAGCCTTCCAACTTGGAAGGTTCAAGGTTATGGAAAGACCAAAGAGGGGAAGGCAAGCGCAACGAAAACGAACACAAGCTACAGTCCCAACGGAAAAAGAATGTCGATTGTCACTGGACGATGACGAGACCAGTAGGCGATTTGACAAAGCGGTCTTACTACAATTCGAGGCAGCTGCCTATCTGGTGTTCACGAGGTGTTTGTCGCGCTGGAAA